TTGGAAATTTTATTTATGGTCTGGGAATAAATATAGTACCTTTACCGGAGTAAACATATACATGTATACCCGTCACGGGTATTATAGTGGTGCAGATGGTACAACACAATAGGTACATATAGGTAACGTAGGGTACCTGTCTTTAAAAAGTAAAACCCTCTTCGTTTCTCACATTATTTTCACCGAAATCATTGAAACGTTCACAATCGTACTTACAATTTTCGCGTGCGATGAATTCGGCATTGAAATAAAATCACAAAAACCTCTATACGTTTTCATTTCAGACGACGCAATAGGAAAATAAAATGTTTCATAACGAAATATCAACATTTATAACGTATTAGCAAAAATTCGACGTATATAATATGACGTTTCTCTTTTGTCGTGGCTGGCGGCTGCTTCGATTGTCTGGTGGAAGGTACATATGTATATAATATTATAATATATCGGCAATGCACTTCTCGAAAGAACGGCTGCGTTAACTCTGAGGCGTATCGGCTCCGCCATGTCACCGCACACACATGTAATTTGTCAAGTCACGTGTAAACGTAACCCGAGAGAGACGTTAACACGTGTACATCGGTAGTGGTAATGGAGGTGGTGGTGGTAGTGATGGTAGTGGTGGTAGTGATAGTGGTATACCCTCTCCCTTTTCCATCGTGTCCAAACGATTGTGTCCGTAGGGTGTCCCTCGTATGTACATATATGTGTAAATAATATATATAATAATATGCTCTTTGCAGGCCCATAATACGCGTACACCTGTCGAGCTCAAGATAGTTCTTATTCTCTTTCGTGCGGAGGGATTTTTATTTTATTATTATTATTTTTCCCCCTCAAAACACAAAGGCTATACCCACCCCATGTAGTCGCGCGCGCACACATAATATAATAGTATAATATGGACAATGTCGGTGTAAATCGTCGTTAAATCTTTATATTCACACGACAGCGACAAAGGAGAAACTGTGTACCGGAATGGTTTTAGGGGTTTTATAGCGAAAAATATTTAATACAATATCCGGTTACCGTAGCGCTCCTAAGACCAACCATGGAAAATCTCCAACGTTTAGCCGTGGCTTAATGTTGTGGACCACTGCTGTTTTCATTTTGTTTTTTTTTATATTTATACCCAAAATATACTCTGATTGAAATTTATGGAAAAAAATAGGGGGGGAGCTCTGCTTGGTAATTCTACACCAAGAAAAACTAGTACCCAATTGTCACAGAACATCAGCGGTTCACTTTTATTTTTTCATTTTATTAAACTGTTTTTTTAATCATAATATATTAATATACCTATACTGATTTCTCGGGACATACGATACGGTTTTAGTAGCTTAAATCATACGACCGTGTCTAATATTATAACAAAATTGTTCGCATAAAAAGTTTTCTACAAAAAAATATCAGAGTTGACGGCCTGTGAGAAAATTTAGCGTACCTACTACCTACTCAATTCATAATGTTGTTTAAGATAATATCATGATATCTTTTATGATATCATAAAGTAACGTACATTTTAACTAAAAACGATGAGATACCTAGTGGCTATAGTTGGAACACTCCATAGAAACGATTTAATATTAGAATACAAATTATTATGACGTACCTGTAGTATACCATAATTTTTGAGTGACATTATATAGTCAACTTTAATTATTTCATTCGTTGAGTTTTTTTTCCAAGACCGTGATGTGGGATCGACTTTGGCAACATAATAATATTATCAATAATTAAATATTAACTATTTATACCTACTCTAATGAATGTTATGCTTTTTGTACCAACGTTATTACTTATTTTTTCACAATTTCACGTTATCTTTTGTTGTCGTCGGCAAAAAAATCGGTATTTGCAGACGTCTACGTCGTCGTGTCCTACTACGAAGTAGGTATTGCAAATATTACTGTAACACTCTCACGCACACACATTTCGTGCTTACGTGTATATAAATAAATATACATTATACAATACATTTATACATATACATAGGTGTGTATATATATATAGTGTACATAATATATATGTATAATGTATATAGTAATCCGCAGCTGCTTGTTGTTGGCGATGGCGGTGGCGGTGGTGGCGGCGGCGGCGACGACGTGCGAGTGTGAAGTGGCGGAGGCGGGAGGAGCGATAGAATGGATATAATATAGAGAGACAAAGAGGAAAGAGAGATTTACGCGCACCCGGTATATTATAATGCCCGAACGGCGGCGGCGGCGGCCATAATAATGGCTGAGCAAACACCACTCGGTGTTTACATTATTATCTCGAATGTCGAGTTTGGAGAATGTATTTACTGGTCTATAAATAAAATCCCGACGTGCGCGTGCGCAAGTGTGTGTGTGTGTGTGTCTGGGTCTAAGTCTCTGTGTGTGGACCGCCACAGCCGTCTGAGCATATGATATAAGCCCTCCACGTACTCCAACCACGGCCAACGATGACGTTTCGTTAATAGCTCCTTGTGAACAATCGCCGTTATCATGCTATAATATGGGAGGGGGTGCGAACAAGGGGTAGAGGTACCTATATATATATATATTATTATTATTGTGCGCGGCTTAATTCTGTAGTTTGAAGTCGAGTGCGACGAGGGCCGACTACCAACTCCCAAATTTCGGGAATATTATATATACGATAATAACATAATATATAGCAGCACCCGATGTGTGTACAATGCTTTATATTATTATTATTATTATTATGATTGTGCGTTGTAGTCGTGGTCTGCGGAGTCGTGTATCTCTATAGGTATACACTCCCGATACACGAGTGCAGAACACTGTACGGTATTATACGGTACACCTAATCGATATCCAGGAACAAAGATAATAATATAATATATATTTTATAAATCGGCTTGATATTTCGTTTTAATATTTTTCGGTTTCTATATTTAAAAGAAAAAATTTTAGTTCTAGCACGGTGGATGGTAATTTTTTTTTTAATTAGATTTTATCCCGATAAACACTATGTAGGTACTCAACGTTTACACTCTTACTGCACATAGTTATACTCACACGTATACTCCATTACATACACGCATATACATATTATAATATAACAACAGCTATGAAAAGAATTTTTTTTTTAATTCGAGTAATGCACGCACCCCTCGATGGGAAAATTGCACATTTACAACACTCGAATACGTATTATCGGTAGCTTAAAACATACTTGCACTTCTATACGTAGATTATTTTCATTCAGGGGCGTTAATGACGTTTCGTCGAGACAAAAGCTCTTTTTGGGTCCGGCGCGCTAATCCTTTTCCTGCGGCCCGTTGTCCAAGAGGGTCACGGCATGAAGTCCTGACCGACAGAGGGATAAAACTCGCGCAAGCATAAACTTTTATGTTTACTAAAACCCTTTTTGTAAAGTATTGACTTATTTTTTTCATTTTCAACCAAATTTTCTTTTGCACATTAAAATTAGTTTTAAAAACAAGACTATTCAATGTAACATTTAAAAGTGATCCCCATAGAATCGTCGTAATTAATAAACGAATGTATCATATTAATATATTATTATGCTATAATGCATACGTACCAACGCTAGCTTGTCCATAAAAATAAAAACACAATTGATAAAACATTTTTTCGTTTTCTAAAAATACAACTTGACAACATTTTGTGTAATTGACGTACTTATGCTTACATAATTTAAGTAGTTTATTTCGAGGGGATCACTGACTGAAAATGAGACTCGCCGTTGTGGTTATTTGACTCTACCTCTTCTACAATAATAATTCCCCTTCTTCTTCACTCTATACAAGATGAACAAATACGCCACTTAAATTTCAATTCTATAATGGTTTTTTGTGCTCAGTACTGCGATCTTTTGAAAATGAGTTCTTTCGTCAGTTCTAAATGCAATAACGTTATTATGATAAACATTTAAAATATTCTTATTATATATTTGTATTTAAATGTCATGTTAAAATTTGAAATTAAATTATTTAATTTTCTGAAACAGATATCACGTATTTTTTTATACTTAGGTATATATGTAATTATACTTAACTTATTTTAAAAACAGCATCAAACACTTTTTTTTATTCATTTAACTTAATTCAGTTTCGACTTGGTTCATCAAACTAATGAACTTTTTTAAACATGCATGCAGATATACTCAAGCAAAGGTTAACATATGTTTTTTATGTGATTCCATAAATAACAAATTTTAATTACCTATACATAATATCAACTATTATTTCATATCTTTGTACATAATATACACAATAAGCATGTAATATAAACGAATTTATAAAATGATAATTTTATTATAATTCATGTATATATTAATATAATGTATTGCAAAAAGCCTCGCAACAAAATTGGGGAAGAATATAAGAGAATATTTCAAGTGATATACGAGGGTTGTTACGTATAATATCTTAAAAAAACAAACGTAATTCATTGTTAATAAAAGTATCGCTCAGTAATGTCAAATGTGAGCAATGTGAGCATTAATGATGATAATAATAATAATAATAATAATAATAATAATAATATTACGTTGAATACGTCTTTCGACTTCGTTTCAGTGAATGTCGAAAAGGGATAATACAGCCCACTCCCCTCTCACGGTGACATGACGGCGATCGGTGGCAGAGAGGGAGATCACGAGTATTTGAAAATAATGGGAATACTTTATATACTATACGTGTATACTATTTTCTTCCGTACGTAATTTTTCATTTCGTGTACCCAATGTTCAAATTCTTTATATAAATTACGTATATATATATTATATATAGAATTACACGCATCGGTCGTATCGCGAATTAATTGATGCTGACTCGACGATGGTGGTTGGCGAAGCGGCGTCCAGAGTTGTGTAACAAATGTTGTTCGAGATTTTATAGTCTGCGGCAAGGAGTGAGAGAAAGGTCTTGTTTTATATGCCTTCTGTTTTCTGACTAGAGAGTTAACTGGTTCCACCCGCCCCCGTCACCGGCACGCCGTGTGATCCCTGGGCCCCTCGTTCTGTAATTACAACGAGCCCCGCAAACTTTTCCCATCCGAAATTTCTAAAACGAATCCCTCGGCCGATCGCGGGGCGCCGAAGTGAAGGAAACGTCTGCTTTTCCCAGCGCGATCGTAAAACGGCTGACTTTCCGTTACTCCTCGTCGCCTCGTCCTGTTTATTCCACGCTTCTTCTGTCCGTCGTCCTGTAGTGTTTTCTTCTCGGTCGTCTTCTCTCCCTCGCCAACCTGCCAACCAGCAGACCCCTCCTCCGCCAACACTCGATTTTTTCCACCTCGGTTACCAGAGAGTTCCATTACCATAAAAACACGACCTGAACACATCACGATATACTCTGCTCTTTGTGATCCACTCGCTGCAATTTTTATCTATTTTATCGTACACATAAGTGAAACATATGCGTCTGAATCCACGCGTAGCACTTCAATGCACTCTGATAAAATAAAGTGTAAAAAATACTGCAGCTATATCGCGGGGCTTAAAAATCCCCAGAGTAAACTCAACAAAAAAATTACGATGTTTACTTGACGTTTTATATCCCAAAAAGAAAAGCCTTATTATCATCAAACACACAAGAAGAATAATAATAATTCAAAGAAACATTTGTGGTCTAGAAAATATAATATTATGTTTTATCTTGAAGACTTTATACATCATATTTTATTCATACAAAATCAATGCTTTAATGTTTTCAACATAAAAGTTTTACTTCTTTAAACACAGCGCTGTGGTAGCGTGTTTACGCTTAATATTTTGGTAAACTTATTTTACTAAAATTAATTTTACATTTTGCGTATAAAATAATACACATGTACCTATATTAGAAATACGAATTTTGCCCTGAACCGTTTTATATTATATATATTTTTAAATAAACCTTATATACCTATATAATGTTTACTAACTTGACGTGTTTCACTAAATATATTTTAAAATGATTTTCCTTTGCATTTAAAATATAACTAAATAAAAGTGTTCAAAATAAATTAAAATAAAATTTGAGTAGAGCAAAATATAATTATATCAAAAATTGTTTATCATCGGACAACTAATAATTTAATATCATCTTAGTCACTTCTGTAATACAACAATACAACCAAAATGTTTTACCGGCGGCGTCGTCTTCCATTTATTAATTTATTAACCGAAGGACTATCTTTATTCAGAGTTTAAATCTTCATTATGTTGCTTTATTGTCAATTTAACGTTTTTTTTTTTTTTTTTTTCATACCGTGTTAGATAATTAATTTCACTGATGTGCACATATAATACCTAGGACATACCCCAGGTAAATAAATTATAGTAGGTAACTACTTATTTTATTTTACTAATTATTATATGTAAGTGTTTAGTTTTCAGTTCTTTAAACTATGTTGGTTTCGTTTACTTTATTTTAGAATCAACTTAGGTGTATATTATTATACTATATAGACCGATTATTGCATATTATTCATCAACTGCCATACCGATTATTAATATTGTATATCTATAACACGAACAAAACATGGGTTGTCACTAAATGCACAACACGGATTATCGTCGAGTTTAATCGGCAATGATATTATTCACATGTTCGAGGATAAGAATTGATTACCATTTGAAACGTAATTATATGACCTTATCATTGGTATATAGGTACCAGCTATAATACCTATTATCGGAAAGTTCGCGCTCACCTCTTCCGGCCGATATATAAAACAGCGTATATAGGTATAGTGCCGAAGCCGATACATATTATATAGATATACTCTGCGGAAGCCATAAAAACGGTCGAGATTTAATCGGAAAAGCGGTTCTCTAGGCGGAACACCTACAACACAGGGCATGTGTGTGGTGGTGGAGGTGGCGGCTGGACGGGGGTGGGTCAGGGCTGCAGGGAACTGGACGCTCTTATATGCGAACTCGCAATTTATGGTGGCTATTAGGAAGGAAACCCCGCGGCCGGAACGCCTCTGTTTCAACCTCCACGCCGACCGCGCGCTGGACCTGTATATGGATGGTTTAGTTTTTCTTATTATTTTTTTTTCTCCTTTTACCTTTTTATATTTCTGTCATACCGTCCTCGTTTAGGATGTAAGGCCCTGCCGCAGTGTGGCAGTGCAGGGTGGTGGTATCATGATCGAACGTTTATCCGGCGATGGTTTTCGATTAACCAATGAAAAATACTCGCGCAGGTACAACACACGATAATACGACGTTATAGATAGAAAAGTCTCAACTCGCAAACGGTATGGGAATTACCACGGATTTTCCAAAATATTGCACATAACGATACTAGGGTACCTATCTATATCGATAGTGCATCGAAACTATAATATCCGCATAGAACTCAATATGACTGTATCATGCATTAGGGGCCGGTTCAGTAACCCCCCTCCCCCCAAGATAAAGAAGCATTCTATTATAGATATTTTTCTTCTGCTAGAAAATTTGAGAAATCTTACATATTTTTTTGGGAAACATATCTAGTAGCATATACATAGATAGTAATTGTTAATTTGCGTTTCTATGGCGATAAACAAAGCGTTGCGTGAAATCGTTTAGAAAAACCAAGTTGTATCCTGCAGCCCAAAAATATATATATATTATGTTAAAATAGTCTAGTTCCTTTTTTGCCAATTATTATACATATTATAAAATATAAGGGTTATGTTATGATATATTATAATTATTGTATAACGCAATCTCGACCTGACTGTCAGCTTTTATAAAAATACTCCAAAAGATAAAGCTAACTCTATATTATCGATGAATTAAATTAATGTAGTAATAAGATTATTTATGACCTATACATAATATAATATACCTATAGTGTGCAATATTGTAAAATATGTAGTAATTTAAATTAAAAATTATTTAAGTTATCTCAATAGTTGTAAGGTTTTGAATAGATATTTTGACAGTATATTATCCGCGAAGAAACTATATAATATTATATAATACGAGGGTAGAGGGTTAATACGAAGTATTCTGTACAATTCTAACGATCCCTGCAGTATATACTTACTGTATTATACGTATTTTAGTATTTTACACTCAAACTGGGAAATAAAATGCATTTTTATAACTTAAGCATATTGAAATAAAAATGAGAAATTGCAGTATTTTATATTCACTCCTGAATAAAAGCATTATTGAATCCATGGTAAAAAATAAAAATAAAACAAAAATTTAGTTAAAATAAAACTTTTTTATGATGCGTTAAAATTGCCTACCTAACCAGGTAATAATATTTATTTTTGTCATATTATCCAAGGTATGATGGGAATTACACAAGTTTACATATAAAATCCATTTATATAATCCGTAACATTCATTAAATTTACTGGATTCATATTGTTTTTTGATCAAGTGCCTATATGCATGTACGCACTACGCATCTATTTGTTTTTTAGCTTGTGAGCTTTGGTTTTAGCTCGGTATAAATTTTGGTTATTACATCTCTGCTCCGAGTGTTAACAAAAAAAAATATACCCTTCGTGAAACAAAAGAATACACGGGCCTACTGTGAATGTTTAATCATTAAACTTTAATGTATATTTTATGATAACGAGCTCTTTAATTGTTAACATTTCATTTTAAATAAGTCGTACCACCCGTACGGGTTCAATTAGTATTATGCATGTGACTCACGCGTTTTAAACAGCACTTAAAGCAGCACGCCGATAAATTCAGCCAGTTTTATGATGTGCCGGTTGAATTCGCCTTAATTTTTTTTTTTAACTACCTACCTCTCTTCGCAGGAAATAGTTTTTCTAAATAATTCACGCGTGTTACAGCATACCGTTTTTAGTTTATGGGATTATAGATTTTCAAGTCCGAAGTCTAATAACTGAATCCGATGAAGCCAACCAGTGTCTGACACATGTATTATTAGCTCATAATATTTAATGCTATATAGACAAATATATTTATTAGGTTCTGATTATTTCAGTATAAACCACGCCTATCATACCTATCATAATAATATAGTTTATATTATATAAGTACTATCTTGTTACTCAACCATTTAATGACTGAAGACAATAAGAATAAAAGAAAAAAATGTGACTATTATATTAAATTATGATACCTTAAATTAAAAAAAGGTGGGCAAGTGGGTGTCGCTCTGCTGTACAGTAGGTTACAAGTGGGTCACTGTATAATGGATGATATTAAATTTGAATTCAACGATATAATATCATTGTATAAGAAAAACGATTCTGAGCGGAGACGGTATGTCAGTCTATGTTTAAGACATATTATAATATACATATCTATGGTATTAAACAAAAAATTGACCTATAATAGGTACCTATAATAAATTCCAAATTAATCATATCACAATGTCCATTAGGTACTTATAACGCGTTATACATCAACAAAACCGTGATACTATCATAGATATATAATAGTACACTTTAGAAGTTTCAAGTACCCACGAATAATATTATTCAATCACAACAAAATAACTAAAATAGTTATTCTAGGTTTTTTTAATATGTAATTTCGTCCAAATTTGAATTTAAAATGTCTATAAAAAATAACTGTGTTCATATATTTTTTAGATTTTTTGGTTACAGTATGAACTATTTATGAGAACCTTTGTTTAAAATTTGCAATCCTTAGCTATAAAAACTGAACATTTTATAATTTATTAATTACAATGATTGATAATTTTCGAGATTTTGATAAATTTTGTCAAAATTTGATCTTTAAATGCTTATAAAAAAAAACTGTGCCTATGTATTTTTAATATTTTTCAACTGCTATTGTAACAATACATCAGGAGCCTTGTATTAAAATTTTCCACTTTTTGGCCCAACAGATAAAACTTTATTGATATTTATAGAAAAAAAACTAAAAAAAATTGAAAGCTGTAAATGTCCATAAACAGCTCAAAAAGAGTCAAAATATTTTCAAAATTGTATGGTGTATAGGAAATGCCAATATAAACATTCAGTGAAATTTTCATGTATCTACAGTTATTTGTTTTTGAATTACAACAAAATAAGGAAATCGCTACATGGGAAATCGAGTGAATATTCAATGTTGTAAAAATTTGAATTTCAAACGGTCATAAAAATTTAATTTGAATTTCTTATAGACATTTTTTTTTTGATAAAGGTAGATAATCTTATAAGGAATCTTGTGTTTAATTTTCAAATCTTAGATTTAAAAAGAAAAATTTTTACGAATTCTTAACTCAAAATAATTTGCTAATTTTCGTGATTTTTCCATATTTTGTCAATTTTTGAACTTTAAATGCTTATAAAAAAAAATTGTGACTAAGGATTTTTAATATTTTTCATCTGCCTTTGAAACAATATATTAGGAGCCTTCT